TGGTGGGTGTACAGACATAATCATGGTCACTATTATTTTCCCCTCTTAGGTCTGCCTTCCCTTCCTCCTACATCTTCACATCCTCTAATATCTATGGAATTCACATTCCTGTTTCTTGAGTGTTGACCTTGTATCCAGCTACACCCTGAAAGCATCAGTTAAGTCTGGAAGCCTTTTGGCAGAGATTTTTGGGTCTTCTATGTAGAGTATCATATCTTCACCCAATAAGGACAGTTCAATTTCCTTTCCTGTCTTTATTGCTGTAATATGTTTCTCATATCTAATTGCTGTGACTAATGTTTCCAGAACTGTATTGCACAAGAGTGGTGAGAGTGGGCATTCTTGTCTTGTTCCTGAATTTAGCATGAAGGTTTTCAGGTTTGCGTCATTTAATAATGTGTTGGAAGTTGGCTTTACATAGATACCCTTCATCAAGTTTTGATAAAGACCATCTATTCCAATTTTCCGCAGGGTTTTTATCATGAATGTGTGTCGAAATTTGTCGGATCATCTTTCTGCATCTATTGAGATGATCATATGGTTTTTGTCTTTGACACTGTTAATACAGTGTATTACATGTATGGATTTACGTATGTTGAACCATCCTTGTATCCCTGGAATCAGTCCGACTTGGTCAGGGTGTATGATCTTCTTGATGACCCTCTGTATTCTGTTTGCCAGTATCTTATTGAGGATTTTTGCATCTATGTTCATTAGGGAGATTGGCCTGTAGTTCTTTTCGGTTGGGTCTTTCCCTGGTTTGGAATCCAAGATACACTTGCTACCAGGGATGAATTTGGAAGTATTGTTTCCCTTTCAATTTCATTGAAATGTTTAAAGAGTGGTGGCGAGAGCAAAGTCTCTAAATATCTTGTAGAATTCCTCAGTAAATCCATCAGGACCTGAGCTTTTCTGCGATGGTAAACTTTTAATTAACTTTTCAATTTCAATGATTGTAATTGGGTTGTTTGGAACTTTCTTATCTTACTTGTTCCACTTTGGTAATTCATAAGGATATAGATATCTGTCCATTTCTTCTGCGTTTTCCATTTGATTAGAGTACAGTTTCTCGAAGTAGGTATTGATGATCCTCTGGATTTCTGCTGGATCTGTTGTGACTTCACCTTTTTCGTTCCTAATTGCCTGGATCTGAGCCTTTTCTTTCCTTTTTTTGACAAGGTTGAGGAAGGGTTTGTCAATTTTATTTATTCTTTTGAAAAACCAACTCCTTGATTCACTGTTTATTTATCATTCTTTTAGTTTCCATTGCATTGATTTCTGCTCTGATATTTATAATCCCTTGTATGAGCTTTGGGATTTTCTTGCTCTACTTTTTCTAGGAGCCTAGGAGTCATCATTAGGTTATTTGAGCTAGCTCTGCTTCCCTAGTGTGGGTATTCGCTGCTATGAATTTTCCACAAAGAACTGCTTTCATTGTGTCCCATAGATTTCTGTATGTTGTATTGACATTTTTATTTATTTCTAAAACCTGACTAATTTCTTCTTTAATTTCCTCTGTGACCCATTGATTGTTCAGGAGAGTGTGGTTCAATTTCTATGTGTTTGTGAAGTTCTTACGGTTTCTTCTGATACTGATCTCCAGCTCAATTGCACCATGGTCTGATAATGTACATGGGATAACTTTGATTCCTTTGAATTTCTTTAAACCTCTTTCATGAGAAGGTATGTGGTCTATTTTGGAGAACGACCCATGTGCAGCTGAAAAGAATGTATATTCTGATTTTGTGGGGTGGAACACTATGTAGACATCTATTAAGTTCAAAAGCTGGGTGCAGTTCTAGTATTTCATTGTTTATTTTTTTGTCTAGATGATCTATTTGTGATAGTGGTGCATTTTGGTCCCCCACCAGAATTGTTTTCATGCTTATTTGGTTTTTCATGTCCCTTAATATTTCCTTTATATAATCAGGGGCATTACTATTTGATGCACAAATATTTATGATTATGATGTCTTCCTCTTGGGTCGTTGCATTTACTAGGATGTAGTGGCCTTCTTTGTCTCTCTTGATCAGTTTTGGTTTGAAATTTACTCTGTCTGCAAATAAGAGACCTATGCCTGCTTTTTTCTGGGCTCCTGTCACTCGGAGAACTGATTTTCTTCCTTTTACTTTGAGTTCATGAGTTTCTTTTTGAACTAGGTATGTTTCTTGTATACAACATATTTTTGGATTTTGCTTCTTAATCCATTCTGCCAGTCTATTTCTTTTGACTTGTGAATTGAGGCCATTGACATTGATGGTTGTAACTGATATATATTGACTTAGCATTGTCATGTTATTTTCCTATTGTTAGCTCTTTATAATTGTCCCCCCTCTGCGTTTAGTTTCTTGCCTTGCCTACTGGATTTGCTCTGTTGGGCCTCAATGTGGTGGGCCTTTCATTGTCTTTTTCTAGGATACTCTTTAGAATGGTTTGTCATGCTGGTTGGTATTCATGAAGTTTCTCAGGTGTTCCTTGTCATGGAAGTATCTTATTTGCCCATCCCTTGTATGTATGTATGTATGCATGTATGTATGTATGTATGTATGCATTTATTTATTAGGTTTTTTGAGACTGGGTCTAACTATGTAGTCGAGACTGACCTGGAACTCACTATGTAGCCCAGGCTGGTCCCGAATTCACAGCAATCCTCCTGCTTCAGCCTCCGGAGTGCTGGGATTTCAGGCGTGTACCACGAGGGCCAGATTCCCCATCCATTATGAAAGAGAGTTTTGCGGGATGTATCAGCCCCTGTTGGAGAGTGTTTTGTCTTAGGACTTGAAATACCTCACTCCACACTCTCGTTGACTTAGGGTTTTTGTTGACAAGCTAGGTGTGGCTCTGATGGACTTTCCTTTGTATGTGATTTGTTTTTTTCTCTAACTGCTTGTAGTATTTTGTTCCCCGTTGGGCTTTGGGAATCTTGGTTATTATATGTCTAGGTGTCAAATTTTTTTTATCATGGCTATTGGAGTCCTATATGCCTCACTTATCTGTATGTAACTTCTTCCAGTGGAGCATTTGCAAGAGGCAATGGTTAAGCCGGAGTGGAAAGTTACCGGTAGAAAAAGTTCATGCATTTGGAGGACTCTAAGCAAAGGGGGCCTTGCGAAGAAATAAACTAGAGAGGAAGCCTCCCCAGAAGGCAGGAATGACACGGGGAGCATACTCTTTTAGCGACGGATTAGTAGCAACAGCTTAGCCCTGGAACTGCAAAGTCATACACACAGGATCATCAACAGGAAAACCTGCCTCTCCACAAGTCCCCAGGAAAAGATTAGACAACGTGACAAGAAATCCAAACTCATGTGGGAGGGGGCTGCGGAACCGCTTAATTGCACATCATCTAGGGAGAATTAGGCCCCCACCCAGTGCCCAGCCACGGGGAAAGGGGAAGGGACCTGCATGCTAGGAGTTAAAACTGCTTTCTGTGACTGGCCTGGATGTGCCCGTCCATCATATGAACACCTAGACCCGGCTAAGGAAACACCTTTGCTTTCGCCGCCCTTCCTGCCTCCGAAGCCCACTCTCTGTATCTGGACAGGTGAATGCATTTCTCACACCACCCTTTCAGTCCTCTCCCCCTTTCAGCCCTCTCCACTGCCTCCTGCACCTTCGGGTACCAGTGCTGCACCCAGGATGCCCTGCGTGCCTACTCTTCTCACTTCCTCCCCACCAGACTCAGCCAAGGCCCCACGCCCATGATCTGCTCACCGGTCCCTGATTTCTGTCCATTCACTGACTTCCTGTTGCCAACCCCATAGACTTTCTTCCCTTCCCACTGCTCACCCCTGAACCGTGCTCCTCCTGCTCCTGCCCTCACTGAAACACCTTGCTGCCCCTAACCCAGTGGACGTTTTTCCCACCCCTGCACTCCCCAACCTAAACTCAGCCCGACCCCATCCCCTCAGCCCACCCCACGTCACAGCCAATCCCTGACTCCTCTCCTGCAGCAGGCCAACTCCTTTCGTGCTCTCCTACTGATCCCCAGCCACACTCAGACCCGCCCCACACGTGCTCCACACCTTCATGCGTGACTTCTCGCCAATCACTGACTCATCTCCTGTAGCCAAGGCAACAGACTTTCTTGCCCTCCCATGATCCCCGCTTACACTCAGCCTCGAACCAGCACATGGGGGAAACCTGTCACCGTCTGACTGCCGGTCACCGACTTCTTTCCCGAACCCAAACCAATGGACTTTCTTCCCCTGCCACTTCACCCCACCTGCACTAAGCCCTTTCCCTACCTCTCCCCTGACCTCTTGCCAATCACTGACTTCCGTCCTGCAGCCACCCAACTGAGCTTCTTGCCTTGGCATTGGACCCACCTACGCTCAGCAACAGCAAGCCAGGTCCTCACCCAGGCTTCTGACTTTCTGCCCTGCCCACGGCCTCCCTGCCAACCACCCGTGAGCCCCGCCCACTATCTGTCTGCGGTCCACCCTCCTGTCAGGGACTATTTTCTAGTCACCGACCTCCTTCCTGCCCCCGAATCAATGGCCTTTCTTTTCTTCCATGGACCCACCCACACCTGCAGTAAGCCACATCCCTGCCACAGTCACGTTCATTGACCTCTTCTGCCTCAGCTCACTACCTTCTCGCAGCCAACCCAACTGACTTTGGATGCCTCCTGCCTCACTCTCAACTACACTCAGCCCCGCCCACGGGTCAGGAATTGTTGACTCTCCTCTGGGACTTCTGTCCAATCACTGACTTCCTGCCTGCTCCAGAACCAATGGAAGTTCTCCGTCTCTTGGCCCGCCCCACGTACAATAAGCCACTTCCCCAACCACAGATTAACTTTCCCTTTCCGGCCAATGAAACTGACTTTCTTTGCCCAGCCAAAGCTGGTGCACCATACCCTCAGCCATGCCCCCTGCCCTTTATTGTTCACACCCCACTCTATCATTTCTGTCCAATCA